AGTGTGCATTTATAAGGGGTGCATTTAGGAGAGTTTCTCTGTAGTTTTTTTAGATTTCCAAAAATTGAAATTATATAATATGTCAAACAAATTCTGTAATATATACCAATAAAAAAAATACTATTAACAAAAAAATCCATTTTTATTGCTGGAATAAAACCAGTTTTTAAAAAATTGATATAGGTTTGTTGTTTTATTAATAAAAAATATTATTTTTTAGATAATTGAAAACAGATTTTTTATATAAATTCATTTTTTATTTGGTAAAAAAAAAATAGATCTATATTGGATCTTTTAGAACTCATTTTCATTCTGGTAATAAAAACAGATTTCTATGAAAGTAAAACAGAGTTTTTATATAAATCCATTTTTTATCTGGTAAAAAAATGGAACTTTATCAAATCTTTTAAAAGCATTTTTATTAAAGTAAAACCAGGTTTTTTATATGAATTCGTTTTTATCTGGAAAATTTTCTGGATAAAAAATGAATTCATATAAAAAACCAAATTTTTGCCTGATAAATTCGAAAATTTTTTTACAGGGAATGTTGTATGTATCTGTATGTATAATAGTTACATATACAGTCAACTCTCTCTATAACGCGCCTTGAATTTTTAAATTTTATATCAGTTCGTTATAGAAAGCTTTCGTTATAGAAGTCGACGGCACTGTGAATCAGTAAAAACCATTTTTTTCCAACAATGTTAAGCACTTCGGAATAAAAAAGCAGGTCTTATTATAAACTTAGTTATATTAACTTCAACTTTAATTATTTAAGGAGAAAATGTAAATCGAGAAATGTGTGCGGTTATTTGTAAAGAGTTAACAGCAATATCATGTAATAAACGAAATGACAACACAAACGAACATTTTGCAAACTAATGTAATGAATATAACGATGTCAATAATTATCGTTATGTGATTCATTCATAGAAGATAATTTAGTCGCTTATATTTATTTTTTTAAATTTATTTCACAAATTGATACTGTCACTATCGTTATCTTTTATGTACTAGTGACGATTAAGTGATTTAAGATATCAAATTATAAATGATTTGACAATATCGATATAATTAACTCTGCTCTAAAATATTGCTATACTTTTTTCAGATTGCTGTGGGGTTGGATAAAATTCATAATGATGGATATGTGCATCGTAACTTCACCCTGGAAATATATTGATAAGGGATCTATCAATTGACGTTGATGCTGCTTTAATTGCTGATTTAGGACTTAGCAAACCAGCAGATATAGAAAATTCTGATCGAAAATTTACAGTGTACTTCCTTATATAAGTCCAGAGGTACTAAATGGAAAGCCATACACTAAAGCTGCGGATATTTATAGTTTTGGGATTATTGCGTACGAGCTCATAACAGGTGAACGAAGTCATCATAAACCTTGTATGCGACATCTATAAAGGAGTACGACCGATATTCCCGGATGGTACAAATTTATTATTGAAAAATTTTGGGATCCTATTCCAGAAATAGACCAACTGTCGAGGAACTTGAAGACTTTCAGATCTATTTACTCGTCCTATTCAGTAAACTGATACTTTGCATTATCAGTATGGTGACTCTTTAGGATCTCTTAAGTTGCATGAAGAAATTATTGGTTGTCTTAAACTAGAAAAGCAGAAATTAGATGAACTTGATGACGAGATTCCTATGAATATGAATACAAAACAAGAAGTCCACTTAAATGCAGGTACTTTCTATTATAAAATGAATTATATTACCATATTCGAATATTTAAGATTGACAAGTATTACGTACGTAGTTTGTTTGTTCCAAATCGCTTGTTATTTTTATTGATTTCGTTAATTCATTACTATTTTTCTTTGGATTGCAAGACAGTAAATAACGGGGATGAAGATATATAGAGCTATTTTTAAGAATAACTACAACTTTATAATGAACACTTCCAATATCACGCTTTTTCTTATATAAACTGGCAGTATTAAATTATCCTTTATTGAATTAAATAGCAAATGTTCTAATAGTTAATTATAACTATGTTTCGAGTTAAAGCACAAAGAACAAAGCGACTTCTATTACTTTGTGTTTGTGCATATATTTATCCTTATATTTATTATTTTAATTATTATATCATAATTATTCATATTCTTTTATGTGTATTTAGCGTTAGAGTTCAACAGATCTTATATTTTATGTTTATTGTTCGTAACTTGTCATCATTTCATGCACATGGGCAAACTAAACAATAATAATATCGATGTAAATAGAGAACTGTCTCGTAACAGAACCTTAATTTATGTTAATACATGTATTTCACATGAAAAATGACACATTATATCTATTGCTTTATTGAAAAGAGCCTTTTATTATTTATACAACAATAGAAGTCAGAAAAGGTTCTTTTTTATGCGTTCTGTCTCATTTTTCATACATATATAAATCGATGTTACTCTTTTAACGTTAGCACACATACAATTAAAGTCAAAATAATAACGATAAATGCATCTTATCTACGAATATCTCAGAATAATGATGTGTTCCTGTGTCATAAATCGATTTACAAAAGTGGATAACGATAACGACTTCCACACATTTAAATCAATTTTTAAATAAAACACTCAACGACTGCATCTACAATTTCGAATACTCATGATGTAGTAAATGCTACGAAATAATGACGATGAATGTTCAGTTCAGTGTACGTACATGTATACCGATACATGTAACGGTATTAGAATTATGCATGTATAAATGTACATGTTCGTATCTGGTGTTTCAAGCTGATTACGTACATGTACATGTACATGTATTTATGAATTACCCAAAAACATGATTTTTTGTACATGTATTTCTTAGTTTAATACGGAATATTTATATTAAATAATGGAAAAATTCATGAGATTTATTAATAAAATATAAGTTATCCTTGTTATAATGAATGTGTTTGGGCTATTAGAGAAAAATTCATTAGATCCAAAGTTTATTAATAAATTCACTATATCGAAAGGGTCTATTATCATTATAGACCCGTTAGTATGACATATGATCAAGATATCCGTGTCCTTTGAAATCGGTTAAGTAAAATCACCCGCCTGGATTGCACAAATCTAGATGAAATACGTATAATGTTAGCGAATGAATGCTATTAAAATTAACCTAGTAAATCATCGAAACGTGAATTTAAACATATAAATTTATTAAGAATTTACAGGCCGCACGGAAAGTAATGGCGGTTAGTTTTTTAAAGAAAAGAGCAGTTTTTAAAGACAACTACACAGAAAATTCATTTCTAGAATGTATCTGAATAGGGCATCATGCTCTTAAAAATCAACACATAATACACTCTCCTATGTCAACGCAGGTTTGAATGCTATTTGACATGTCAAAAAATTATAAGTATTACTAATAAGGATATTTCAATTTACTCTTCACAATTTTACTTTATAACTAATATATAGTCTTTAATACAATTTCTTAATAAGCGAAGACTCGTTAACATAGTAAAATTTTGCGAAATCATGAACCAAATTGATGCCCTTCCGTGTCATAATCACCGAACTTCTGTTATTTCTTATGGCTTTCAAAGGATGGAGATACAATACATGTACATTTCGGGAGAGATTCATAGAATGTCGTGTATTTTTTCACAATAACCTTCTTTAGGAGGCCAATTATATGGTAGAAATTCTTCCGCTATTACTTTTCGTGAGGACTGTACAGTCAAAGTGCGCTGTATACATCGGATTCGGCTTATACCGTATTGATATCCCGATTTTTGCGATTTTTAACTATTTAAAACTCCCTTTCCCTATATACCGGCCCAAAAGTGCCAATCCAATGTGTTGTAAAGGACTTTGACTGTATATCAATATTAGAGTTTTAAGCCTATATCGATATCAACCGGAAAATTCTTGTTAATTTGTGTAAACAAATAAAACTTAAAATGTTTAGCTTAGTTTCTTTGTGTCAAAAAATTAATTCTATTAGCGTTAGAGTTTTGTCGATCTCGACACAGCAACCAATACCAATACGTAACAATATACCGTAGCGGTAATCTTTCCACTCTGACCTAACGCTAATCCTTTAACATTGCAGTAGAATTTTCCGTGATCGATATTCTTTGTGTACAAATGTGGGAAATTTTGATTTGATTGAAAATCTTAATATAGAAATTTCATTAAACAAACATTTGATATCGATATTGGTATGGCCATCTATAAATTTTTTTCCATCTATCGCTATAATTAGATTGCTAAACAACTTTTTGTTTGGAATTTTCTTGTGGCTATGAAAAACCTACCATCCGGAAAGTACTATTCAAACTACATATTTTATTCTTTGCTTTTTTTGCGAATGTGACTATATGGTAATACTGTAATTGCGCAGAATTCTATACTTCAAAACTTGTATACTTCAAAATGCTATCGTATTTTTAGTCGTGAAAACAAAGATATTCCAGTCCAGTTATGACTAATTCCAAAAAAAACAATATTAATAACGATAATATATCGATATACATGTTGTGTTGAATAAAAACTTTAGCAATAAAAGCTGTAGAATTTACTTTTCTAAGAATAGATCATAATCTAGATGTGGCTTGTAATATGCTTTTCTATTGATATTCTAAAACAAGAAACTTTGTAGTCTGATTAAAAGAATAGTCAGTAGCGGTAGGTAAACAAAGGTTATTATCTCCAAGAACCCACTATTGAGCTATGAATTAGGCCTAATCGATCGATAAGAAATTTGAAGTTCTCATTGATCAAATTCTGGGTTATTGTATTTTAAAATTAGCAATTTCATAGGGCAGTGTTAATCTTACTTTCGACAAGATTTATCATAATAGAAAATCTTTATTTAAAAAAGTAATTTTTTTTCAATAAATCGAAATGGGCTTATGTATGATTTACATTTAAAATTATTATAAATAACTGAAATCTACTATTTATTTTCCAATTAATAAAATGGAAAAAAGAAAAATCACTCTTATTCCACTTCTCGTTACCATATTAGTAATAATGTTAAAATCCTTTTCTTTTTCAATTCCAACTGACGGAGGTATTGCCAGTTGCGGTGGTCCCGGTGGATGTGGAGGTCCCGGTGGAGGTGTTGGTTCCGAATCTTTCATTGGTATTGATACCCGTGAAGGACCCTATAGAGGCGGTGCATATCCGTATGTAAAAAAAATTATTATTTAAAAATAAGATTATTTTTTAACCAGAATTTCTCTATTTGTAGAACTCCTACTCCTACCCCTCTTCCATGCCCTGGTTGCCCGTACATCTTTGGTTGGCAGGATTACGTCTTCCCACAGAATTATGGTCATTAAGCTGATATTGATAGAATGCTCAATCTTTTTAATGTATTTTTATAATTTATTTAGTTAATTATGATAACATTTGATAAAATTTTTCAACTAGTTCTATATAGTGTATCTTTAAATGATGGAAGATTATGATAACGGTAAATAAATTTGCTTAATTGTAAAAAATATCATAAATTTTACTTAATTATTGTAAAAGTAATAAAAATATTAACAGGCTTAAATAAATTTGTACTGTTAACAAAGTATTTAAATATACCTAACTAATTACTTTATGTCTGCTTCATTTTTTATAAACATATTTGAATTTGTGTTACATTTATAGATGTAGTATACTTTTACGTTAAATTGCAATTATTTAAGCAGATTGTTATAAATCCAGAACTGACTGAATTGAATTCATTAAATTCATACTATTTAACAATGTGACATAATTTAGGATAAAAGATGTTTTGCATTCAAGCCTTATTATATAATAACGATAATTCTTTACTATATCTAGAGACTTACCTATGTGTTAATTTGTCTACGTATTAAATACGTACTTAATGGCATCTTACATATATATCAAGCTGCAGATCTTTATAGTTTTGGCATGGTTATGTTCGAAATGTTAACGTTAAGTTTGTTTGGTGAGCAAAATTATGATATACGTATATCTCGTATTTGACGCCTATAAAGGAGCACGATCTGAATTACCAAATAATATTTCCGGATGGTGCAAATTTACTATTGAAAAATGCCGGATTTCTGTTCCAAAAAACAGATAACTGCTAGAATTTATCTACTTGCACAAATCAAAAAATAATTGCAAACTGAATGCTTTGCATATTCAATATTATAGCTTTTTGGAATTTCCCAAAAAAATTAAAGAATATCTTAAATTAGAAAGACAAAATTTTAAAAACTTGATGGAAGAAGAAATTTCTTATATATATAAACAAGAAACAAAAATTCATCCAAATATATTTTAGATCAGTCAAATCTTTACTAAATAATTAATTTCAATTTTAAATAAAATAGGCACTTTTTATTTTAAATATAAATCATATTATACTATTTTATATAATTATTAAGTTTACTTATATTCTGCAAGTATTATTATTTATATATTCCAAATGATGTAAATAAAAATAAAATTATTAGATATAATCTTTTTTATCTATAAATATTTCATATGGTGCAAAATATCTAAAATCATCAAATATTTATATTTTATAAATATATAAACTTCTCAACTAAGAAATAAATTTCAAACTTAATTTGTAAATATAATAGAGTCTATTTCATTTATGGATTAAATTTTGAATTTACTTTTTAATTGAGAAGTTTATATTTTATAAACTATAAATATTTGATGACTTAAATATTTTGTATAATAATAGTAATAATATATTTTTATATTATTGTAACAAGCAAAAATAATGCAACATCAAAATTGATTAATTAAATATAGTAAAATGTGAATTTTTTCTTTATATAAAAGTTTTCAATTTTATTAATAAATATTTTTTATTTTTATATTGAAATAAAAATAATTTTACATATATATTTTCAGATTTTATCTGATAAAGCTATTCTAATTGTATATAAAGTTAATTATCTTTTTATAATTAAAATAATTAACTTTATATATAATTAAAATAGCTTAAATCTAAAAAATTTGAAAAAATATATGTTAAAATATGTAAATTATCTTTATTTTAATGTAAAAATAAATAATATTTATTAGTAAAATTAAAAACTTTATGTAAAGAAAAAAATTTATATTTTAATATATTTAATTAATTTTAATATTGTTATATTATTTTTAATTATTACTATATTTTTCATAGTTAAATTAATTTATAAAAATAAATAATAATAATTTTCAAATATTCAAAAATTATATTATCATAATATAAATTTGAATAAATAATTTAATTATTCATATATATTATTTAATAATATTTATTATTATTATTATTGAATAATTAGTTATTATTTTATTAAATAATTATAATTTAAATAGTTATTAATTCTTAAATTTATATTAATAATATTAATACTTATATTAAAATTATTATATTTGTATTAATAATAATAATATTAATATTAATACTAATATAAATACTAATAAAATGCTAATAATACTAATAATACTAGTATTTAATTAAGTTAATAATATTAATAATTATAAATTATAAAATTAATAACTATTAATAACAAAAATTAGTAATAATAAATTATATTTTGTATTGGATTTGGTTCTAAAAAATAAATTACTTATAATAAATTATTTGTTATTAATTTAAAATTATTTAAAAAACTTAATATTATATTATAATTATTAGAAATATAAAGTAAAACTTATTAAAATTAATAAAATTATTGAATATTATTTTGATTATTATAATAAAAACATATATTATCTATATTTAATTATAATTTTTAGTTTTTTTACTTTTTAATTAATATAAATATATAAATAATATATAATAAACTTAAAATTTATAAATATAATATTAATATAATTAATAATAATTACTTATTTATAAATTATTATTTGTATTTATATTAATTAAATTTATTAAAATTCTAAAATTTATTTTTTAAAAATTAGTAAAAAAATTATTATAAATAATTAATTATATATTAAATTAAATAATATAAAAAAATAATAATAGTTTATTAATAATTATAATATAATAACAATCAGAAATAATATAATAATATCAAAATTTATTAATTAAATATAAATTTTTTCTTTATATAAAAATTTACAATTTTACTAATAAATATTTTTTATTTTTATATTAAAATAAAGATAATATTTATATTTTAATAATTTTTTAGATTTAATCTGATAAATCTATTCTAATAACAAATAAAATTAATTATTTTTTATAATTAAAACATATAAAAAATAATTAACTTTATATAAAAGTTTTTAATTTTATTAATAAATATTTTTTATTTTTATAAGATTTTTAGATTTAATCTAATAAGCTATTCTAATTATATATAAGGAGAAAATATATATTTTATTGTATTTAATTAATAAATTTTGATGTTATTATATTATTTATAATTGTTACTATATATAAATTATTCTTAAATTATTTATATATTATAATAATTAGATAATTTTGTTATTACTAATTTATTATAAAATAAATAATATAAATATTTATATTTATTAAATAATAAAAATTAACTTTAAGTTAAGCAATTAATTAAAAAACTATTTTAAAACTTGCAAAAATATTTTGTAAACAAATTAATAAACAAAAATAAACTAATATAATAAATTATTTATTAAGTAACTCTTTTAGATTAAGATTTTATTTATAAAGAAATTTAATTATATACTCAAAATAAAAATTATTTATAATTTTGATTTTTATTTATTTATAAATACATTTAATATTTAGTTATATACTCAAAATAATAATTATTTATAATTTAAATTTTTATTTATTTATAAATACTTTTAATATTTAATAAAAATTATTTTTTTTAAAAAAATAAATAAAACTAAAATAAGATATTAATTATATAAATATTTTTTTTAAACTTGTTAAAATAATATAGTATTATTAAGAAAAGTTTTAATTATTCAAATTATTTAATAAATATAATATTATTAACTTGAAATATTTTTGAAAATATAAAATATAATACTATTTAACAATTTTTTATTAAATAAATAATATTAAATTTTAGATTCTTAATAAATTATTATAATAATAAATATATTTTTGATTATTATTATTTTAACAAAATAAATTAGAATTTGAATATTTAAAAAAAATCAATAATACTATTACAGAGATTCTGAATAGTGAATTTCACTGAGAATTATTATAAATATATAATATTGGGAGAGGGATGATTAAACTTAAATAAAAATAAAAAGAATAAATTATAAATATTAGCAAAGGTTTCTAAGACCTGTACCAATATCATGTGTTCAAAGATCTTAATTACAAAAGTAATTTGAAAAAAGGGGTAAAAAAAATATAAAGTAAAAAATAAAATTTTATAACAATTAATAAGTGAAGTCATTATTAATCAAAGAAAAACTAAACTAAAGTGTAAAATATTAATACTAAAAAGTATAAATCAAAAATAACAATTTAAATAAAATCAATATCGTAAGATATAAAAATCAAAAGTATGAAAATTAAAAAAAGTATAAATCAAAAATATCAAAGTCAAAAATATCAAATCAAAATCAATATAACGTTATAATAAAAATTCAAAATCAACTTTATATGATCAAAGAAATAAAACTAAGTAAGAGAAAGG